TAGAAAGCACATGATGCATGAATCACAGTGTCTGCTGAATCCCCTCCCTGGCTCAATATGTTCTTTTACTTTTTGTATTTGGTCAGAGCATGCTCAAGAAATCTGGCATGTCCAGTGGTCACTACCACTGTTATATTACTGTTTATCATTAATGCAGTGATGAATTTTAATCATGGATATTTCTTCATTGGCATCTCCTACAAAACTTGCTTCTGGTACTAAAAGAGTTCACAAGTGCTATAAGCAGATACTGCCATTATTATAGTGTGTGCAGTTCTCTAAGTTCATCAGGTTGTTTCACTGTTGCCTGTGAGAGGTAATGTTTCAGACATGTTCAAACTATGGGCTTGTACATGCGTGCTGTTTATCTTGTTTGGACTCCTGCCTGAATGACCCGACACCTTGAAATCAGCAGATCTCAATTTGGATGGCAGACAGACAGGACCTGAAGGACACACTGTGAGACTTGAGAATCTGAGTGCTGGTGGCAGACCTACAGGGCAAGCCCAGATACACTGTTCAACCCCCAAGGAAGTGATAATTAGGGCACGGGTAACAGCCACACAAGGCCCTGTGTAACCTGCAGTCCTGTGTTCATAAGGATGTCTCTTCTGTAGTGAATTAGAATAATGCCAACACAATAAATTGTTAGCACAAATGATTGCCTGGCATATTTCACAGCATCTTGGCAGGTGCATTACTAGATAGTTATGTCAGCCTGTAAGGAATAAATCCTTTTCACTGAAATACACAAGTCATGAAATTCAAGATAGCCACAGTTACCACGGAAATGTAACATCGACCACATCCAGTAACATTGACCACATCCAGTAACATCGACCACATCCAGTAACATTGACCACATCCAGTAACATTGAACACATCCAGTAACATTGAACACATCCAGTAACATTGAACACATCCAGTGACATTGAACACATCCAGTAACATTGAACACATCCAGTAACATTGAACACATCCAGTAACATTGAACACATCCAGTAACATTGAACACATCCAGTAACATTGAACACATCCAGTAACATTGAACACATCCAGTAGGCGACAGCAAGTGTTTGTAAGACTGCCTGAATATGACCTCTCCGCCATCTTTTTGGCCAGCCTCATAGTCTGCTACCAGTCAGCTGTTTTGTGTATGCCTATCAGATTCTGAGGCTTCTATATGAATGTATGTTATAGAAATCAAAATATGATTGTGAATGGCTTTGAAACTGTTGTGCCGAACTCTATAGAGGAAGCTAAATCTGAAGTGTACAGTGTATTTTCTCCAGGATTGCTTCCCAGGAAATATAAATATGGCTTTTATCATCAAACCGGAAAAGTTCTGGGAGAAACAGAGGACCAGTCTGGGCAGTTCCAAGTACAATTTTGAGGTGGGCTTTTGTCGGTAACATATTTATATTGTTGTTACTGGGTATACCAGGCCTTTAGCCTTGTTTGGCAGCTGATCTAGAAGGGAAGCTCTGATAGGCAGAGTGTTGCCTTTCTGACAGCTTCTGCAGCATGCTTTCTTTTAACTGTATTGGTATTACCTTTCCTATAGAGTAAACAAAGCCGGCTGAGAGAGATTGTGCTGAGTGTGCTCTAATACTGTCCAAGCATTGTGCTGTCCAAGCATTGGGCTGTCCAAGCATTGTGCTAGCCCAGCTTTGTGCTCAGCTGACTTGCTAGGCACACTCACCATGTGCCGTGATTCCCCTGCTTCCCTATTGCCAGTATAACACGGTCATCTGGAAAGACAGAAAAATGCCACCTATTGCAAATATAACACGGTCATCTGGAAAGACGGAAAGATACCAACTAAGAATCCTTACTTTCTGATGTGAGACCATTATACAGACTAGGATTTGTATCTTACTTCCAGAAGATCTCCCCCCCCCCCCCCCTCTTTCCCCCACGTGGTTTTAGAATCTGGTACCATCATCTTGAAAATTAGTGCCATTATGTGCTGCTAAAACCCTAACTCAGGAATTACATTCTTCAATGAGGCAACCATTGTTAACTAAATATGTGAATTGTCATGGGAATCTGTCCATTAATTTAACTGATTATGCTGCAACTTGTAACTGTTGTCCTTCTGGTCTTGTTGATTGCAGACCAGCATGATCTCCATAGATAGCTTGATACGAGCAGTAGATCCTAGTCAGCTGACCAGAGAATTTGAGGGCACACTGGAGTATGATCACGAGCAATGGATTCAGCTTCGATTGGTAAGTTGGTCATTATCTTCTTCTTTTGCTGCCTGCCCTTCAGTGGGCATAGGTTCTCAGTAGTCTTGTGCTGTCAGTAGTCTTGTGCTGTCAGTAGTCTTGTGCTGTCAGTAGTCTTGTGCTGTCAGTAGTCTTGTGCTCTCAGTAGTCTTGTGCTCTCAGTAGTCTTGTGCTGTCAGTAGTCTTGTGCTGTCAGTAGTCTTGTGCTCTCAGTAGTCTTGTGCTGTCAGTAGTCTTGTGCTGTCAGTAGTCTTGTGCTGTCAGTAGTCTTGTGCTGTCAGTAGTCTTGTGCTGTCAGTAGTCTTGTACTGTCAGTAGTCTGCTCCAGTGTGTCTTGTGCTGTCAGTAGTCTTGTGCTGTCAGTAGTAGTCTTGTGCTGTCAGTAGTCTTGTGCTGTCAGTAGTCTTGTGCTGTCAGTAGTCTTGTGCTGTCAGTAGTCTTGTGCTGTCAGTAGTCTTGTGCTCTCAGTAGTCTTGTGCTGTCAGTAGTCTTGTGCTGTCAGTAGTCTTGTGCTGTCAGTAGTCTTGTGCTCTCAGTAGTCTTGTGCTCTCAGTAGTCTTGTGCTGTCAGTAGTCTTGTGCTCTCAGTAGTCTTGTGCTCTCAGTAGTCTTGTGCTCTCAGTAGTCTTGTGCTCTCAGTAGTCTTGTGCTCTCAGTAGTCTTGTGCTCTCAGTAGTCTTGTGCTGTCAGTAGTCTTGTGCTGTCAGTAGTCTTGTGTGCAGTAGTCTTGTGCTCTCAGTAGTCTTGTGCTCTCAGTAGTCTGTCAGTGTCTTGCTGTCAGTAGTCTTGTGCTGTCAGTAGTCTTGTGCTCTCAGTAGTCTTGTGCTGTCAGTAGTCTTGTGCTGTCAGTAGTCTTGTGCTCTCAGTAGTCTTGTGCTGTCAGTAGTCTTGTGCTGTCAGTAGTCTTGTGCTGTCAGTAGTCTTGTGCTGTCAGTAGTCTTGTGCTGTCAGTAGTCTTGTGCTGTCAGTAGTCTTGTGCTGTCAGTAGTCTTGTGCTGTCAGTAGTCTTGTGCTGTCAGTAGGTCTTGTGTGTCAGTAGTCTTGTGCTGTCAGTAGTCAGTAGTCTTGTGCTGTCAGTAGTCGTCTCTCAGTGTGCTGTCAGTAGTCTTGTGCTGTCAGTAGGTCTTGTGCTGCTGTGCTCTTCAGTAGTCTTGTGCTGTCAGTAGTCTTGTGCTGTCAGTAGTAGTGTGTCAGAATAACTGTCAGTAGTCTTGTGCTGTCAGTAGTCTTGTGCTCTCAGTAGTCTTGTGCTGTCAGTAGTCTTGTGCTGTCTCAGTAGTAGCTTGTGCTCTCAGTAGTCTTGTGCTGTCAGTAGTCTTGTGCTGTCAGTCAGTAGTCTTGTGCTCTCAGTAGTCTTGTGCTGTCAGTAGTCTTGTGCTGTCAGTAGTCTTGTGCTGTCAGTAGTCTTGTGCTGTCAGTAGTAGTCTTGTAGTCTTGCTCTCAGTAGTCTTGTGCTCTCAGTAGTCTTGTGCTGTCAGTAGTCTGTGCTTCCCAGTAGTCTGTGCAGTAGTCTTGTGCTCTCAGTAGTCTTGTGCTGTCAGTAGTCTTGTGCTCTGTCAGTAGTCTTGTGCTCTCAGTAGTCTTGTGCTGTCAGTAGTCTCTGTGCTGTCATAGTAGTACTGCTGTGCTCAGTAGTCTTGTGCTGTCAGTAGTCTTGTGCTGTCAGTAGTCTTGTGCTGTCAGTAGTCTTGTGCTGTCAGTAGTCTGTGCTGTCAGTAGTCTGTGCTGTCAGTAGTCCAGTGCTGTCAGTAGTCTTGTGCTGTCAGTAGTCTTGTGCTGTCAGTAGTCTTGTGCTGTCAGTAGTCTGTGCTCTCAGTAGTCTTGTGCTGTCAGTAGTCTTGTGCTCTCAGTAGTCTTGTGCTGTCAGTAGTCTTGTGCTGTCAGTAAGTCTTGTGCTGTCAGTAGTTTGTGCTGTGCTCTCAGTAGTCTTGTGCTGTCAGTAGTCTTGTGCTGTCAGTAGTCTTAGTGCTGCTGTCAGTAGTCTTGTGCTCTCAGTAGTCTTGTGCTTCTCAGTATCTTGTGCTTCAGTAGTCTTGTGCTGTCAGTAGTCTTGCTGTCTCTGTCAGTAAGTCTTGTGCTCTCAGTAGTCTTGTCTTGTGCTCTCAGTAGTCTTGTGCTCTCAGTAGTCTTGTGCTCTCAGTAGTCTTGTGCTCTCAGTAGTCTTGTGCTCTCAGTAGTCTTGTGCTGTCAGTAGTCTTGTGCTGTCCAGTAGTTTGTGCTTGTGTCCATGTGTGCTGTCAGTAGTCTTGTGCTCTCAGTAGTCTTGTAATTGTGCTGTCAGTAGTCTTGTGCTCTCAGTAGTCTTTGTGCTGTCAGTAGTCTGTGTGGCAGTCTCTTGTGCTGTCAAAGTCTTGTGCTGTCAGTAGTCTTGAGTATGTGCTCTCAGTAGTTTGTGAGTCTATGCTCAGTAGTCTTGTGCTGTCAGTGGTTGTGCTGTCAGTAGTCTTGTGCTGTCAGTATCTGTGCTCTTTTCTGTGCTCTCAGTAGTCTTGTGCTGTCAGTAGTCTTTGCCTGTCAGTAGTCTCTGTCAAGTAGTTGTTGTCTTGTGCTTCGTGATTTGATAGTTGTCTTGTGCTGTCAGTAGTTCTCTGTGTCTGTGCAGTAGTCTTGTGCTCTCGTAGTCTTCTGCTCTCAGTAGTCTTGTGATGCTCTCATGACCCATATTCTTTGTGCACCCAGTTCTGTAATGCTGGGGGGGGGGGGGGGGGGGGGCTGGTGGTGCAGTATTGGCGTGCTTTTTTCCTTTTACCCTGTGGGTTCGAATGCAAAGACATTGTTGTCAGGTTTTTCTAATGTGTCTCAACGATTCAGAATGCTAAAGAAGAGAGAATGGCTTTGTAACCCTCTTGTTTATTTTTGTGCGAATCCAGTTTTCTATCTTATTTTCTGTGATAGTAGAATCAGTGGGTCATAAAGAGCTTGTGGTTCAGATTTCTTGCAGTCTCAGGTATTCCATCTATACATCATTTGTGTGGGCAGCCTCTAACTCTGTTTCTGTTTTATCGAAGTACCCGTGCTGTCTGTATTCCATCTATACATCGTTTGTGTGGACAGCCTCTAACTCTGTTTCTGTTTTATCTAAGTACCTGTGCTGTCTGTGGTGCATTGGTGCGGTAGTGTCAATACATCATCAAGTGCCTTGCAAGCTGGCGTAGGCGTTTATGCATCTCCACAGGTTTGTTGTTCTGGATCAGTTCCACTGATGATATTCCTTCATCCCTCTGTCTTCAGCTATACTCCATCTTTTCTCTTACATGTGAACATGTCTGCAGGAACTGGGGAAATAGATCTATGAAACTAAAAGAGTTTTTCCTCCAGCTGTATCAACATCACCCCAACACTTTGACCAGTTCCTCATGTTTTTATCGGAGAATCTTTTTCTTTCTCATGGTTCTCCCTGCCGATGGTTGTTCAGTTAAGGCCTCTGAAGGATCTTAAATGGGAGTAAGTTAATGACCTTGTGATGGCCATCTAATTTTTTGTATATTTTGTATCTTTGTTTAAAAACATGTAGCCCTTATGCTTTGCTAACTAAAATAAAATAACTTTGCAATGAAATGTATATCTTGAGCAGAGTAACTTGTTTCTTTATAAATAAAGTGATACAATTTCAAATGAAACTTCTTGACCAGATTATGTAATGTCTAGACCAGTTACTTTTTGTCATGTTGACCACATCACTCATCCAGAGTTGATTGGTCTGTACAATTTTATTTAGCACAAAATGCCCAAATTGCCACTGCAGAACAAGTGTCTTTTACTATTATTTCTAGACCAAAGAGTCCTGTGTCTTTACTACGAAACTGTTGACTGTCAGCCGGGTATATGATTATCTCAGGGTCTTAATCAGTGAACTTATCATTAATCAGCTCTGCATATGATTGTCTCAATCAGTGAACTCATCATTAATGAGCTCTGTTTATGATTATCTTAATCAATTCAATCATTAATCAACTCTTTATATGATTGTCTCAGTCAGTGAACTTCTCATTAATCAGCTCTGTATATAATTGTTTCAGTCAGTGAACTTATCATTAATCAACTCTGTATGTGGTTATCTCAGCCTCTTTGTCAGTGAACCTAATCATTAATCAGCTCTGTATGTGGTTATCTCAGGGCCTGGTGGTCGAAGGTATGTCATCTCTGGCAATGCAGATTTCCAGTCGGCGGTGCGGAGGTTGGGGCAGTTGAGGATGTTGAGAAGGTGAGAGTTTTGGAACATTTAGTGGTGTTTTGATGGTGGGAGGTTGGGGCAGTTGAGGATGTTGAGAAGGTGAGAGTTTTGGAACATTTAGTGGTGTTTTGATGGTGGGAGGTTGGGACAGTTGATGATGTTGAGAAGGTGAGAGTTTTGGAACATTTAGTGGTGTTTTGATGGTGGGAGGTTGGGACAGTTGAGGATGTTGAGAAGGTGAGAGTTTTGGAACATTTAGTGGTGTTTTGATGGTGGGAGGTTGGGGCAGTTGAGGATGTTGAGAAGGTGAGAGTTTTGGAACATTTAGTGGTGTTTTGATGGTGGGAGGTTGGGACAGTTGAGAAGGTGAGAGTTTTGGAACATTTAGTGGTGTTTTGATGGTGGGAGGTTGGGGCAGTTGAGGATGTTGAGAAGGTGAGAGTTTTGGAACATTTAGTGGTGTTTTGATGGTGGGAGGTTGGGGCAGTTAAGAATTTTGAGAAGGTGAGAGTTTTGGAACATTTAGTGGTGTTTTGATGGTGGGAGGTTGGGGCAGTTAAGAATTTTGAGAAGGTGAGAGTTTTGGAACATTTAGTGGTGTTTTGATGGTGGGAGGTTGGGGCAGTTGAGGATGTTGAGAAGGTGAGAGTTTTGGAACATTTAGTGGTGTTTTGATGGTGGGAGGTTGGGGCAGTTAAGAATTTTGAGAAGGTGAGAGTTTTGGAACATTTAGTGGTGTTTTGATGGTG